CTGTAGGTAAAACCGAGCCATCCAAAGCTAAGAAACAACCTGCATGTCTAAATATCCTAAGCATGAAATTATTCTAACAAATATTTGAACAGGAGAGGAACTTCACGAGGAGCTAAACCAAGCCCTTAGAACAAGCTACAACACTTTCCACATTAAATAGATTTTCTCATAGCATACATTTCAAGCCAGGGAAAGCCACAGGAAGCCAAAACCGAGCCCCCCAAACATGCATAAAACAGTGAAATGAACTCCCTAGCATTCATGAAAGACCAAATAACCTCTCCAATATTTCATGCTAAATGAAAATAAATGAAAAACTTCATAATTCTCTTCCCAACATGCTTGCAAGAGGAGCAAAAAAATTTATTCCAAAGTCATGTCTTAATTCCCTAACTGTTTCCAACATAAACATGTCACAGTAATCATAAATATGCCATAGCCTCCCTAGTTTAAGCGAGTAACCAAGTTTAGCTCCTAGGACATGCCCACATTTCTATTTCTAAATGCACCTGAAGTGAATATCTCAACAATATATCAAAGTAAAATGAACTAACATGCTGTATCATTCAACAGAGCCAAGTTCAAAGGCTCGACAGAGAGGAAAATCGAAAGGCAACGAGGCACTGAGAGAAAGTGGGGAAGAAGGGTACCTTCCTTTGATACCAATGTAAAGCACCGCAACACAAGAAGCTACCTCAAAGATATGCTCTCACAGAAATCTCCTCCTAAACTTCTCCCACAACCAAAAATTTCTATCCCTCTTAGAAAACTTTTTTCAACAACCCAAAAATCTCAAAAGAAACTATGTTTATAGGCAGAGAAGAGAGGAGAAGAGAAAAAAAATCACCCCATCAGTCCACGGCACTCGAATCAGACCAAAGAAGAAAATGACGCGCTCCCTGCTCGCAGAAGGCGAAGCCACCAAAACATCTCGGACCGAGCGGCAAGCCAGTGGCAGCGAGGAAAGTATCGGGAAGAAAAGAGAGTTTGTCATTCAAGTGTACCAGGGAACAAGCTTCCTAGAGACAAACTAC